TCACAAGAACGTCGAATCTGAATCACTTGAAAAAAACACGGGGGGTGCTTAACTTTTTTCCAGGTGTATAGTTACAAACATCCAAGAGTTTAATGTCATCAGCAAATTTAATAACTTACTAATTATGCCCCTATGAATATTATTTGTGTAAATAAGAAACAGCAAAGGCCCAAAGACTTGTAACAAGAGACTTCTGTGGTATAATTAAATCAAAATCAAAAAGAGGAAAAAACAGAAGACAGAAGAATTTATAAATGATAATTCTTTTTAATGTTCACAACATCACAGGCTGAGATGCCATTCCTTTGGTGATTTTAAACTCACATTTGCTTCACTTACTATAAAATCACAAAAACTGTACACAGTGTTACACGTGAGGCCTAACTAGTGGTTTGTAGAGAAAGATAATTACATTTTCTAATTTGTAACCAATATGTCTATAAGTACATCATAAGAGGAAGTATCAGCCCAACACATTGTGAACATTAAAAATAACTTATTGTTTATTTCCACTAGTAATAAGGGTCCAGTCTGACTGTATTCTATTAATAACAACCTTTAGCTTTCTCTTATCCACCACCTAACAATCCAATTAACTTATCCTTTCCCAACCCCTAGTAATGTAATTTTATTAGCTAATCTTCTACGTGACACTTAATAAAAGGTTTTTGAAAGTCTAAATATACCAGGTCTGGATCATTTCCACCATGTAAATAACAATCTATAAAAAAGTTATTAGATTAGTAAGGTAAAATTTTCTTTTAATGAAACCATGATTACGTAAAGCTTCTTTTATCAAACTTTCTAGAATTTTTCCACTACAGAAACAAGACTAACTGACCTGTAAATTCCATGACAAATCTTATCACTCCCTTTAAAAATTAGAGTAAACTTAGCAGCTTTTCAGTTCTTAGGCACCCGTATAGTGTATATTGATCTAACAAAAATAAGAAGTCCTTGCAAATCTGTTTTTTGAAATTCTTTTAAAACCCTGTCTGGTTCTGGTTCTCTATCTACTGATTTTTCTCACTACCAATAAGACATTAATATCTACATGATTAAGTTCAACTGCAATATTTGCAAAGAATGCTCAAGGTCAAGAATATTGCCAATATATTTTCTTGTAAAAACAGATGATAGTAAAACACTTAAAAGTTCATCTTATAGTCTTAAAAAACTATCTAGAATTCTAAAAATATCAGGCTAAAGTTAGCACATGTAATATTCATCTTCTTAAGAAACAATTTGTTGAAATCAATACACAATGAAAACAAAAATCAATTAACTATAACATAACACACCTGTTGAAGATCTGTCTCTAATTTCAATTTCTCATTCTTGGCTGATCTGATATTACTCACACATAACACTAATGTTTTAGCTGGAGTGTCATCTCTCTCAAGTATCTTCTTCAGAGCTGATCTAACAAGTGCAATTTTTAAATTAATATAGTATATATGACATAGAAACGATTTTGACAGTATCTTCACTTAATGAAAATACTTAACTTTTTGAACTGTTTTCTTCATTAAAATATTTTATGAATATATTTTAATTTTGGACCTAATGATGCTGTAACTTTTCAGCTTAATACAATTTTTTTATGTCTTGATGGAAGTATAAAATATGATTTCAGTTTTGATCTTATTCTTTTGAAAGTAACAAAAATTATTTACTAAATAATTTACAAAACTTCAAATTTCATACTTTTTACAGCCTTATTAAAGTGAAGTGTATGTGTGATTTTTCAGTTGAGGTTATCATAAAGCCAAAAATTACTACCTCTTGCACTTGACTATCATAATATAAGTTATTTTATTAAATTAATCTGCATAATTATCTATAATATGCTCAACATTCAACAGTGAAAACCCACCCTAAACATTAATTACAAATAACATAGGTTGTAAAAGAAATATCATAATGTTAATTTAATCACTTTAAAGTCATAATCACAATTATAACAATTCTAAATAGGAATATTGTATGTGGTAAATTTATGCAAGATCCAACTCCCACATGATCTACAGCATGGAAAAACGTATTATCATCAATATAATGTTTGGACGTGGGCAATAAATACTAATTACATATGACTTTTTTTTTAAGTGCTTCAAAAATAGCATGGTGATAAACTACCTGAAAGAACTTTTTTTTTCAAACTCACAAGCCTACCAGAGTCTATATTACAAGATTCTGATTAACAATTGCTTGTTATGGTATCACTTTTAATTACAGAAATACAATAACTACAATACACTAAATATATGCATGTAAGTTGTCATAAAATATGACTCAAATTAAATTTTCATTTCCATTTTGTTTACTTCACAAAAAGTATTTCCTTCTATTGATAACTGATTACCATTCTGAGAACAATAAAAACAAAAATCATATCATAAAACTAACATCTTATCACTTCAAAGCAGAAAACAAATTGTTTTAACTGGAGTAACAAGTTAAAATGCTGGGCTCATTAAATTGAGCTATGGCCTATATGGATATAAGCAGTTTTTTATATAGATAAATTATATTTAAAATCAGCCTTAACCATGATCTGAAATAAGCTCTATGAACAAGCTTGTGCAGCTGTTTTTTAACATACAAACCACACTGTCTAATGAAAGGTAATACCATACGTACAGATAAATTAGGAATTTAAAATTTAGATTTTTCAATGGAATAGTGCTTGTTTAAGTAGTCATTGACCATATTATTATTACTATTCATATCACTGGGGAAAACCATTTTTCTAAAAATACTATTTGATGTTACCAAGTTCTTTTTTAAAACTTCATAGGTGCTTGTACTTTTATAAAAACAATGCACCAAAATCTTGATCACGTTTTTCTTGAATAGCAGTAGTATCAAAAAATGTAACATTCATATAAAAAATAACTGTTTATTTTGACTGAATCAAGTGAGCTCAACAGCAAAGTTATTACTGAAGCCATAAAGCAATGTCATTTGGATTTAATGTCTGTATAAATACAACTACACTGAAACATTTCTTGCAAATTCATCTAAGTTAAGCAAAGATGAAAATTAAACATAAATAGCTACTACCTGCATATAACTATAGCCATTGGTAAAAGTAATTCATTAGCACTGGTAGGTGCAGTAATGTATTGATTAGGAAGAAACATATATTTGAAATTTGCTTTGCTAATGTACACGTGTGTAGATCTATGATAAAATTCAAGAACATCATAAATATATGAACACTTCATGTTTTTCCACCACCTTTAGTTACATAATAATTTAAAATTTTTTTCATATCGTTTGTTTAAGTTCTGAAATAAACACGATGTCCAGAAATCAATGAAATTGTTTTGTTCTCTTTAGCAGATAATATTACATATTTTTGATGAAAGGGTCAACAACTGCAATGTCCCTACTGGCTGACTGAATGATTTCTGTATGTTATGGGACATTATTGCAAAAGAAAGGATACGAGTTTTCTTGAAAGATCAGAACATCTATTCTTTCAGAGCTCTACTTGGTTTTAATATGATGTTAACATGCATACTAACCTCAGCTTGATCTTTTGAGTTAAATGAGTTTAAAGAAATGCTTTTACTGTAATGAATGGCTTATTCTACTTAGAAGTACTCCTGACCAAGACGAAGAGTTCATTGCCAGAGAGAGAGATGGTTGCAGGAGATAACTGTCAAGTGTGAAGAAAATCCTCAACTTAACAGAAGCAGTCTCCATTATGACCCAGGATGAAGTTTAAACTTTTGAGAACTAGAAAAGCCTTATAACAAAGTTGGTGTTTTTTCATCTTAACACAGGGTAATAATATTTAACCATAATTTTCTGTTCATTTACAGAACCTAAAATTCTATTGTTTATTAGAGTTATCAAATATTAGACTTACATTACCATTTATAAAATGTATCACTGAGATGTTGCTGGCTAATACTTGATTGTTGTTCATGAATTACTTTTACTATTACTGGTATGATATATTTTCAACTCTAAGTTGAACACGATTAGAAAGAGTCATTTTAAGCATGGGTTTACAAGAGAGTACAACTTACTGAGCTGTTCAGAAGTAGTGTATGCTATTCATTAAGTATCTCTTTTAGTAAAACTAGCTCATACCTGTTAGGGGTTACATGCATTATATTGATGAGATACTCAGGATTATTGTTTCACAAATATTCTAAACCAGGACCTAAAAGCAATTCACAAATGAGGTGAGTATTGTTATCACTAATAAGAATACAAATAATATGAGATTCCCCTAAAATTTTATCAAAGGTACACATCATGCTACTTTCCTATCAATTTCAAATTTAAAACTATCATGCTGCAACTACCAGGAAAATTTCCCACCAGAAATGCTTATTTTTCACTTGAAGAGAGTAATGATGTATAATCGTAATTTTCCGTAAGTCTGTGTATTTACTTTATTACCATTTACACAATTATGTCATTGAGGTGTTGTAAGGTCAGCTTCTGTTCACACTAAGTGTGAATATTGTTTGTTTGTTTTGAATTTGTTTAAGGATGAAAGTGTTTTTGTGGATTTACTAATCCAAGTAAGTTTTCACAGAGTAGTTATACAGTTTAACATGGTTTTTGACTTAATTTGAGATACATTTTCATTCAGTATTTTAACCTTTTTCTTAGTTTAACTTATGAGAGGGAACTAAACACGCTGACAAGAGCTCCTTTATCCATTAAAGTTTTCTTTAGTCCTTGTCAGTTACACACACACACACATAATCAACTGCCCTATAGTTTACTGTATTGCATTTTATTGTCAACAGTGTATTGTTCACTGTATATTATTAACAGTGAGGATTAATAAATGGGTATAAAGAGCTAGTGGGAAGTGTAAAAACCACAAGCAACTTAAAACCCAGTGAATATACTAGTCTGTGCATGGATGGCAGTCCTTACTTGCAGATCAGTGTATAACTTGGGGAAGAGGAACTGCAAGCTGAGATGGGGTGGCAGGCAATTGAGTAGGGTGGTCAGATCTTGGTGGGGGAGCAATTTGCTTGGACCTAGGACTTTTGCTGTTACAGAAAAGGTCCTTGACTGACAAATGAGGGCTGTCCAGAATGTTGCAAAGAAAGCAGCAGAACAGCTAGGGATTCCAAAACCTTGTAAAGCAGTCTCTTAAGAGCCAATAACACCATATAAAATGGTCATTTGATTGGGAAACCAATAACTAAAAGGGAGTTACCCACACTTGCTTTCTAAGCAAACTTTGCCACCGATATTAGAGTAGAAGCAGTTCAAGATTTCTCCTGTATACCCTTACTGAAGTAGTGGCACTTCTCAAATTTGTTGTAGTATTCTTCTTGTTGCTTATTTGAGTAGCAGTAGATCTTTTGAAACTGCTATAGAGTTTCTCCTGTGTACCCTTATTAGAGTAGTACTGGTTCTAGTGAACCAGATGCAGGGTCTGTACTGTTAGAGCTAAGACAATTATTGATCATGCCACCAATGATTGAAAGTGCCTAACACCTCTTACTGTTGAAGCCTCCAAGTGGTAATGTGCAGTATAGTATATTTCGTTACACTATTCACTTTCCACTTTTGTAATAATTAGGACAACTGTTTGCTCAAAATGCCAAAAACTAAAAGGGGTGTTGCACCTTCCTCGTCTTTTCAAAAATTGATGGATTTTCCATGTAAAGATTGCCACCCTTTTTGGAGTAGTGACAGTTCATCTGAACAAATCATGTAGTTCACCAGAGAGCAGAGGCTCTACTGTAGGTGCAACACTTCCATCTTAAGCCAGAATTTGTGATCCTTAGAAGCATGTTGATATGAAAGATAGTGGCAGAATGAAAACATTTTTTACTGCATGTAATTTTTGGTAGAACAGTAGTTGAGATAAGTTCTACTAAAAAGTGTTTTTCCTAGCCAGAAAAATGTTTTGAGTATCACAACCTACAGATGGCAGTATGTTACAAAAACGTAACTGTCAGAGAATAACTTGATGAAGTAGCCCATGTGGTTGCTATGGTAATGGTGGATATGCCAGAAGATACTAGTGTGTGTGTGTGCGCGCACATGTGAGTTATCTCAGAGATCAGCAACACGTGGATCTTTGCGTAATTACCTGTGGCAATTTATAAATACTCCCCCAAAGAAATAAAGTTGAAATTCTAATTTGTCAGGATAAGAAAAATTCAAGACTCCACAGACATACAGATGGAATGATATCAGATTTGCTTTATTTCTTTTATTGAAAAAATAAAACGTTCAAAGAAATAAAGCAAAGTTGTACTTCACACCAGAATTTAGTTTTGGGAATATGCTCTTAACATAAATCAGTAAGAGACTAGTTCTGCATGAAAATGTAGGCTGTGATTCTGGGGCAAGATATGACACCTGTATGAGAAGTGGCTATTTTTAGGCAAAGTTTGTTGCTAATCAAAGTTGATAGGAAGAGGACA